TTTTCTTTCCCTTCATGTGGTTGGATTTGGTGGATCCGGAGCCAAAGCTGATTTTTTTCCTCGGTGGGGTGTGCGTGTGGCGTGCGGGGATTTTCTCGCTGCGTTTTTTATCTTCTGCTGCTTTTTTAAATCTTGGTTTTGAACCTGAGCCGGGAAAAATGGGAAACGGTGCTTCCGTCAGAAGGGGAATCTCTCCATCACTGTTGTTGGGACGTGTGCCTGTGGTGCTAGTGTTTTAGAGAAATAGCCTGACAGCTTTCGGAGTGGAAGGTAAGGGTGCCCGGGGCATTTCCATTTCCCATTTCCAGGGATTACGACTGGAGAGCTTTTAGCTTGGGATTCCGGGGAGGAGGCGGCGGAGGAGGGGGACAGGCTGTTGCTGAAGGATAGAGAGAGAGACAGCACATACGAAATGATCTCCGCATTTACTTCAGCGCTGCAGTTTAAAAGTTAGAGAAGTCCGTCTTGCGACAGGTCTGCTTCCCTGAGAGTAATTTCCAGCGAGACCGAGAAAACCTGAGGTTTGTGCACGATTGGGGTAATTTGTATGGGGGGTGGGGGGAATTGTTAGGTTAATAGGAAGTTAAAATAAGAGAAGTCAGTGGGTCTTCTGTTGGGGGAAAAAAAAAATAAATGGAGTGATGGCGCCGTCTATGTTCGGCTAAACTACAGTGTCACCTAGAAAATCAGTTCGGGGAATATCCAAACTAAATGCCCGTTTCTTTTCAGCAGAAGAGGATTCTCCTCCTTCCCAAATGGGCAACCTTAAGCCTCTGTGGCCATTCTTTAACTCCCTCCTTCATGGAAAAGAAAGATCTTTTTAATCTGACTATCTTAATGCTTCCAGCGACCAGGTTCACTCTGCATCTAGCAATGCTGCAAACTAACTGAATGCTGCCGGCACACTCAGTTCGTGTGTGTGTGCATGTGTGCGTGTGTAATGCACACAGGGAGAGAGGGATTAAGACAGTGTTGTGTTTCAGTAGCCGTACATGAACAAATGCACAACTAAAATCAGGACTGTTTGATTACATTTCTTCATAGAAAACAGCCTAGCACTGCAGAGGTCTTTATTTTTCTAGTGCAGATATTGCATAGGATGGAAAAAGTCAGAGGATTTTTTCCTTTTCAAGCAGAAAAGCAAATAAGCTCCCTTTCTACTTTCCAGATTATAAAATTAATCCTTTTTCATGGGTGGAATTCTTAATTTAGACACTTATTGTCACATTGGCTTTCAACGCCTACACCATCCTGAATAACACTGCGCAGAACTGCATTGCCTGCAAAGTGCTTCAGCAAAGGGGAAATTGTTTCCAGAATTCCCAATAAGTTTCTCTTTTTTAAAACCTTAAATGCTGTACCAGCCCTCTTTGGAGAAGGAGAACCATGTTATTCATTGAGATGGATGCTCAGAAAGGAGAAAATCTGACCATGTGGATAGACCCAGTAGCAGCTCTGCTTCTTTTTTTTTTTTTTTTTTTAAACGTCTGCTATAAAGAGGGTTAGAGTTGGTACTGCTTTTTGCCCATTTCAGGATTCAGAGTTTGCATTATAATCTAGGAGATACGAAAATCTCTTCAAGGGAGCTTAATCCGGTGACTTGCTGTGTGTTACGCAATGGGAAACAGAAGATGCCTTGCTGTTTAGTGAGGAGATGAAAAGCTAAGCAAAGACACACATCAAAACTCAGTAACGGTGCCTATGTGTGTGTGTGTGCCTCTGCTTACAGAGCAACAGTGGAAGAGACCGCAATCTAGAGAGTTTTGAAATTAGGTTGGTATCACTTCTTTCTGCTTGCATTTAAGAGCAGAAGGTGAAAAACTACTCATTTGTAAGAGATAAGCAACTTTTCAAAGGTTAATGCTGAAAACCTTCAACCTGAAATTTTTGGATATCATTACGGAGGTAAATGTAACTCAGGTTTGCTGTATGAACCTAGGCCACTGTTAAAAGAACAGAGCATGTGGAGACTGAGGGTTGGCAGGTGCAGTAAAACAGCTTTATTTTGAGATAGCAGCAGAAAAAATGTAATATTTTCTTTCATTGTCCAAGTGCACAGCCGCAAAACACAGACGCTAATCAGACAGTACAAGTAATTTGTAATAAGAGGGCAAGTGCAGTCCAATAGATGCAGAGATCCTGCTGTAGCACGGCCAGATATATAGAGCTACCGATTGTAATACTAATACTGTGATCCATTTTATATATCCTTAGAGGCTGAAGCACATTGAAATTATTATCTTAAAAAAGTGGCATTTAGTGATCGTGTCAGACCAGAAGCAGTTATATCCATCTGTCTTTGTTTCTTTCTTCAGTAGTGTCAACATTTTATTAATACATTAATCTCAGTATTTTCTGCCTTTTTAGAGATCTCTATATACTAGGCAGCCGGGGGAAGACATGTAGGCATATGGGAGATAATGTTCCATCTGTAACAAATAGTAATTGGTGCATTTTTAAATTATAGCTGTAATAATTCAGTTACTTCTCAGACTTAAGAGAAAAATCATATCTAACAAATTCTACCAGCTTTCTTGTTCTATTCTGATGAAATGTTGCATGTGCATATCGTATATGCACATACATAACTATAGCAGATTAATTATTTACTTTTTGAATAAATAAATGAATAAATTTCTCTTTTCTTGGTCTGTCAGGTAAGGTATCTAGGTTTTTACTTAAGTTGAGCAGTTCTAGTCCACGCCATGATGACTAAATCCTAGAGAGAAGAGGACATTCCTATTAATATTCTAATAGATGTTGAGTTTTAATTTGTCTGTGGAAGACGTGTCTGTGGCGATGGCCACGTGATGGCGCTGTGCACACAGCGGCAACCCCGGCCCTTGCGTTATAAAATAAAAATTACCTGCCCTTCTTTCTGAAAGGGGCTCTAACTGCAAGCTTGAAAACAGCTGGCTCGAATATTGGAAGGAGTTTGGTTTTCTATGCGTGAAGAATTCTACTTGCATTTTTATTTCATTTCATCTCCTACAGGCCAAATGACATAGGATGAAGGCTGTTCGTAATTTGCTGATTTATATATTTTCCACCTATCTACTGGTTATGTTTGGATTTAATGCTGCCCAAGACTTCTGGTGTTCCACGTTGGTGAAGGGGGTCATTTATGGATCGTATTCTGTAAGTGAAATGTTTCCTAAAAACTTCACAAACTGCACTTGGACGCTGGAAAATCCAGATCCAACCAAATATAGTATTTACCTGAAATTTTCCAAAAAGGACTTCAGCTGCTCCAACTTTTCCCTCTTGGCTTATCAGTTTGATCATTTTTCTCATGAAAAAATAAAGGATCTTTTAAAAAATAACCATTCTATAATGCAGCTCTGCAACTCCAAGAATGCTTTTGTATTTCTGCAGTATGACAAGAATTTTATTCAGATACGTCGTGTCTATCCTATCAACTTCCCAGGATTACACAAAAAAGAAGAAGACCAAAAATCCTTCTTTGAATTTTTGGTGTTGAACAAGGTGAGCCCAAGCCAGTTTGGGTGCCATGTGTTATGCACTTGGTTGGAGAGCTGCTTGAAATCTGAAAATGGGAGAACCGAGTCCTGTGGGATCATGTATACAAAATGCACCTGCCCTCAGCATTTGGGAGAATGGGGAATAGACGACCAGTCCCTGGTGTTGCTCAATAACGTGGTGCTGCCCCTCAATGAGCAGACAGAAGGCTGCCTGACCCAGGAGCTGCAAACCACCCAGGTCTGCAATCTCACCAGAGAAGCCAAGCGGCCGCCAAAAGAAGGTAGGTGCTTCTGGGAGGGGGGGCTGAATGCCACGGCAGTGTGTAAGTCCTGCTGCCAGCTCTCCTTAATACTCACATTCGTTTCAGTGCTCTCCACTCTGGCTCTCCTCTAAATGAGGCAAAAGGGCTGGAGAAGATGCACACTCCCTTAAAGGCAGGGAAGGCTGCATTTTCATTTCTAAACTGGCCTAACCTACAGCATATAGTTCTGCTGAGCATCGTTGAAACTCCTCACAAGAGGATCCATCTGTTTTAAGGCCTCACTTACAGTAATGCCCACAGGTGGTGAGCCAGAAATCACTCTCCCCCTCATCACCTCTTTACAGCAACCACCCAACTGCAAAACCTTGGCCTTCTTGAAATGATCTCTCGACTTTGCAAGGAAAACATTTCCAAAGGCATGCAGGCAACCTGACCAAAAGACCAGGAGATTTGCCACGTTCAGGACATCTGGTCCCTGGGCCAGACCTCAGCAACCTACAAACAAACCAAGAGTAAATGCAATTCCAGAGGGTGCAGCCTCTGCCTGAGATGCCTGGAGAGGCGAGGCACTGCGCAGGCAGGACATGCTGGTTTAACCTCCTGGGAGCTCTGTGAAGGGGCACTGGCTGCTCCAGGCAGTCTCAGCTCCCGGAGATGAAGGCTCAGAATCTCATTGCAGTATTAGCGAGAAGGGGGTTGATGTGTCAGTCCCAGCAGCTGCTCCAGTTCCAGCAGCTGCTTCATGTCCCCGCTGGAAAAAGGAGAGGGGGGTCCTGTGGAAGGGTGGGAAGACAGGGGTCCAGCAGTTAGCATGGCAGACACCTAGTCCCTTTGCTGCATACCTCCTGTTTTAGCCTGACATTTTGGGGAGGTTGGGGTGGGAGGGTGATTTTTAGAAGGACTTTGAGGGGTTGTGAGGCAGGGAAAGCGTGAGTTGAACATAGAGGGGGGCTCTGGATGCAGACTCTTGGCGAGGGGTCCTTCAGAGCTGCCATGCGGGAATGGGGGGAGGGGGAGGATAAATCATCGAGCCTGGGGTATTGCATTTTAATGCAGGAAATGTTCCCTCTCTCCTTGTTTTTTGCATAGCCACAAAGCTCTCAGTCTGTGGCGAGGCAGTGCCAAGCTCCCAGCCCCCCTAATAGAAGTTGCTTTGTGGAGGAATGTAACATTGACACGTTGTTAGGAGAGGATTTTCTTTAAGGGCAGCCAAACCCCAGTGCTGTGGGAGAAGAAAAGCTGAACTTGCTCCAGCTGCCGCGGTGCCAGCGGCCAAGGGCAGGGCCGGGGGAGGGGAAGGCTGGCGAGTGGGACGCTTAGAGCATCCTGTGGCTCCGCGCTCTCCCGCTCCCGGCAGCCCGGGATCAGAACGGTTCCAAGGGACCGGAGAGGCCCGGCTGCCGCAAACATCTCCTAGAAAAGCTCGGTCAGCGGCAGGGATGGTATTTAACATCTTTTAGCGCTAATTAGTGCCCAGGGAGGCAGAAGCAGCGCCGGCCGCAGCAGGCGGAGCCGGGCGGGAGCCGCGGGCGCTGCGCGGGTTTCGCACCGCCCGTCCGCGGCCATCCCGTCCCTCCGCGGCCATCCCGCCCCTCCAGCCTCCCCGGGTGGGTCCCGGGAACCGCGGGGAGCCACGGCCCGGGTGGAGAGCACAAGCACCGCACACCCGGACGCGCAGGAAGCGCCGCCGCGGAGCGCGGCTCTCCCCCCGCATCCCCCCGGGCCAGCGCCGCGGGAGGCACGGCCACCGGGACCACCGGGACCACCGGGAGAGGCGCATCCATCCTTCGCCCCTGCCTCCCATTCCCGTCCTTTGGCGCCGGCTCCCTCTTGGGGCTGGGGCGAGGGAGCGCGAGCGCACTGGGTGCGCGGGCTGCCAGGAGCCCTCACATCTTTCCCCAAAATACTCTAAATTCCAAGGGGATGGGTGTATCCAGGTTAAAGCATCTGTTTCAGAAATGCACCTAGGTGAAAGCACAGAGGAAGCTTAGGGGAAGCATTTATTTGTTTTTTTCCTTCCTTTAAATTTTGAAACGTTTCCAGCATATTTTGCTTCCAATTTCAGACATATTTTTATTCCCGCCCCTACTCATGTATTTTCCTGCATATGAGCTTGAGAAACGGCATTGTTAGAGAGGGTGGAAATTTCATTTGGCAGGTGGTTTGATTTGCTTGTTTTTCACTCTAGTGGGGCCAGTTTTGTATTGATGAAAATTTTTACAGCATTAGAATTACTTCAATATTTTATTTAATTGCTTTAATGCACTTTGAAATTGTTCATCATAGTTTTACTCAAAGTTATAATCAGTTTGCAAAGTCAGCCTCACAGTACTTCTCAGTTAGCAGTAAGCTTTTTGTTTTCCACTCAGTGTCTGAAGCATTTTTTCCCTTTTCTCAGAAGGCTAAAAATCCGTGAGAGAGGTGTGTTTAGTCTTTCTTTTCTGTAGATACAGTTGCATTCATTAAGCACAACAGTCAGGTGTATCTGTATGTAAGAAGCTGGTTTGTGGTTCAGATCAAGGCCTTACTGAGGGATCAAAACATAGAATATTCTTCCTACAAACGTGACGCGGTTCATTACTTCTGTCAGCGAACATTAAGGCAAGAAATATAAATTTTGTTTTCACAGATAATCTAGTTCAAGTTAGATTGGTACAGGTAGCGTAAATAAGGTAGACCAATAACTAAGAAATGGTTGTTAGGGCTCATAGTGGCAACTGAAAGTGCAGTTTTGCTAGTGTAAGTTGAGTTTTAAGGGAAATGGAGTTTACTATTGAGAGAGTGCTTTAGATTTGGTAAGACTGTGTTTTATGAATTTGTGCATTATTTTGAGGTTTTATACTGACATTGCCTAAAAGTGACTTTTGGAAAGGAATTGCAAAGACCTGACAGCTTTCTAAGTATTATGCAAACCTTCCCATCCATCAGATTTGCTTTCATCAAGCTTGACTGTATGAAGTGTAAAATCTTTTCCCAAAACTATTTCAGTCACATTTTTAGAACCCTTATGTAAATAGAGAGCATTTAGATTAAAGCCAACTGTTTCTATTTTGAACCTCTGAAGATTTTTACGATTTTGAATATGATAAATGGCTTAGGAAAATGGATGAAAGTTGGTATTTTTCCTTTTTAAGAAGTGTTGCATTTTCAAAAGACGTGACAAGTATACAATGGATCATTGTGTTTCTAAATGTGCTGAACAATGAAAGGATCTAGGTCAAAAAAGTAGAAGCTGCAACTATTGATTTTTAATAAAAAGCTTTGGAAATATGTGGTTTATTCAGCATTTCTTCTGTAGGAAGATCATCTTTGGTGTCATTGATTGAAGCAGTATTGAAAATCGCTACCATTTCACTTAGACTCAGTTTCCTGGTATCTAGATCCTTTTCTGTGGCCTTACATTTGAGATGTTTACCCTGGATCAAAGCACTGGCAAATAGGTCTCAATGAATACTTTGGCAGGGTCCTAAATTTAAATGCTGTGGGGAATTTGTCCTCCTGATCTTCAGTGCTGTAACTGAAGTATGTCATGAAGTTTCTGTCAATAAGACAGGGCTCAGTTCCAAGTCTAGTAGACATGTAATGACTTTCTATGTAGTCAATCTAAGAGACACTCCAAAAGTCTTTTTTCTTAGAGTTGCCATAATATAATTGTGGAGCTTTGTAATAGTTACTTAGAGAGGAACTATAGAGAGTTTCCTATTGTGTTTACTGCCAAATCTGTCAGGATTCCTCCTAAAAGAATGGAAATAATTCTTTGTCCTGTTACTTACATCCAAGAGAAGAAGAGAAGAGATGTTCACATTTGTTAAATCTCAGCATTTGGAATACCAAGCTTAAGCTTGTATCTCATCATCAGATGGTCTAAAATAATTTCAGTAGGGATATTTTATTATGCTAGAAATGTAGCATTGGTCTACTTCGTCTGAAATTCTAGAGCTCGCTGTGTACCATCAGCATTTTAGTATTCAGCAACTGTTATTTTTTTCCTGATTTCAATTCTGAAAACAACAAAGATCTTAACAGAGGATTTATTGTAAGAGATGCGTCTTTAAAATAATAATTTATGTCACACTGTTGAATAATAGTAAGATGTAGGATGAAGACAGTTTTGTAGAACCTTCATGACATGTATGCATTTATTTATATGCCATTCCATGAATGCCCACTTCCTGTTGCACACATTTGAGATTAATTCATAATATTCATCACATAACCAGAGGTCACTGGCTCGGTGAGTGGGCTGGACATCCCTAGTCAGAAAGTCATTGTCAGTAATTCCATGTCATATCATGGCTCCATCACAAGATTAAAACTGTTAAATCACTGATTTGTCTAGTAAGATCAAAAATTGCAAAATGGAGTCTGACAACCATATACTTCAACAGGAATATTTAATATTTAGTGTACCACAACCATTTGACACTAAAATAAAATACAGAAAATCAAAAATAAATAAAACAGTTGTCCAAAATATTGAATGACTGCAGTAACATACTTGAAAGAGGCTTAATAATTTTTATATCCTTCTGCTTGCAGTGGCCCTTTTATTCCTGAGTTTGAGGGGACAAAGGAGGATGAGTACTAAGGGAAAAACACACTTTTGAATTTTGTGTGAAGAGTATTTTTCACTATGTTTTACAAAATATTATTTGAAATATTTAGTTTGAAAACTTTAAGCTAATACACTAAATAAGTGGTTACCATGCAGGCTATGAGCAGTTTTAAGCAGTTTTGTTATTACACGAACAGTGACGAACAGTTTGATCTCAGTGAAAATCTAGGCTATAAAGAAAAATAATTTCACTTTAAATATTAAAAATATTATTCCCACTAAAATGCTCATGGCAAAAAAAACCATAGAAGCATTAACAGAAACAGTTAAAGAGATCATGTCTGTGAGTCTGGTTCCCCATGGAAGGAAATATTTTAAAATCTCCTATGGATTCCTATGTGCTACATAATATGCCTTATTTTGACTTACTTTGCTAGAAGAAAATGATCACCTTAAAGCTTTATACTTTTAGTACATAGTTGAGTCATTCTGAACCACTCATAGGAGGGTGCTTTATCACAGTCATGTGAGTTTGATTTCAAATTCTTTTTTTGAAGTAGTGCACTGTAGAAAAAGCCTTAATGATCAGCACCTCCTTTAATCAATAAGCCTTACCTTTGTTTTAAATTATTATATGTGATTATCACTAATGACTGTACTTTAGTTTGTGCTGTATTGATTATTTCCACCTGATTTACTTCAGTAAACTATGAAGATTCTTGTTTTGACGTAAAAGTTTAGAAGTTTGTGTGCAAGAGTAATCAGCACTTCATGTATGTGTGTGGAATTCAGTGGGATTTGGATCAATCCATAAGAGAATTGTGTGATGCTTTGAGAAAAGAAAATACCCAGAGCATTTCCTTTACGGTACAAGAAAGCCTATATAAATGGTTTTGCTTCCAGTTATTTAAATACTTTATTATTAAATGTACTTTTCTTTCTCTAGGTGGCAATTTCTTAGATATCAGAGATTCTCTAAGTATTTTGTTTAGCACTTCTCACACACTAATGAGATGGCATATTATTTTTTGGGAAAAATTAGCCAGCTTCAGTCGAATGTTTGCCTTAGGAAGGATCACAGATGTCCTGTACAGGATTTGAATAGCAGTTTTTCATCAACTCACTGCTTGTTTAAAACATTCATGGCTTAAGTTGAATAGTATGTTATAGCCCAAACCAGGTTTTTAATTTCTCCACATGTCATTTTTGCTTGAATTAAATCTCTATGTACATGATTACACTCAGACATTGGAAGACCTGCTCTCAACTGGGCATAAATGCTGCTACAAACCATCACTCTGAGAAACACGGGACATAAATAGAAACCAGTGATAAAGAATGGGCAAGTATAGAAACAAATTAAGTGTTCAGAAGGAAGTCAAAGCAAATATCCAAATTAGGAGCAGAATTCAAACTGTCTTGCTGCTGCCTCCAGTGAACAAGTGTTTGGTAATATTGAGTCCTGTACCATCAGTTATTTCACACCTTGAAATCATGTCTTGAAGTCATGCCTTTTTTGTTGGCCATCTCCTGCCAGTAAGCTGTGCCTTTTGTCTTCAAATTCTTCCAATTACCCTTTGTCTGGGTGGAAAAGGTCCACAATATGTTTGCTGTATTTTGGACTTTGCCCTCTGATGATGATCATGTGCTTTTGACAAATGTGGAAGTGTTCCAGTGTAGAACAGCCATTAGCAGAAATTGATGTAGATTCTACTTACATTGTGGGATTTCAGTTGTTAACTCTTAGTGACGTTACATGAAATTATATTATGACATAATGCAAGTACTACATTTTTTATTATGCATTGGTTTACACCTATGTGTTTCTATTTTACGCATTTATAGAATACAGTGATTTACAGTGATGATTTACATTCAATCTGTTCTCCTGTGCTCTTTTTAAAG